AATTTCATTAATGTGCTGTTTACTCCTTTTTCTAAATGAATACTATTAAATAAGACTGTCCCTAATGCAGACCATTGCAGTGCTCCCCCCGCCCCGTACCACACCTCTCCTCAACTTGTTACTTTGGCATGAGGAAACAGTCTGAGTGACTACAACAAAGGTTCATGATAACTGGCAGTGTTTATATTCAAGCCATTTTGACTCCATTTTGAGAATAGGGTTTTGTGAGGCTCCGTACCAAAGGCTTAACCATAGTAAAATACAAATATATTAAATCTACTGCTTTACTTTGTCCACAGATTTGTAATATAATTAAGAAAGCAATTAGGTTAGGTGGTACCCAAACTTTCTGAATCCATACTACTTATTGGTTATGGTTCTCTTATCTGTAGTGGCCAAATCCTGCTGGCTTTCCCCATGAAAGTAGTCCCATTGGCCAAAATTTTCAAATCTGGGTGTCTAAATCTTAGGGTTTTATACTGCTACCCATCACATTAGCATCCAGGTATAAAATCAGTAACAACAGCTAATCCTTAGTGGCTTCATGGAGTCTTTGGCTTTCCTCTCCTTTTGGCTCCTAAATATATATTTAGCCATCTCAAAAATGTGGCCTTTGAAAATCAGGACTGTTACATGTAAGATCCTAAATATGGATATAGGAGTGAACTGTAGACGCCTAGGTTTAAAAAAATATGGCATTTAAGTGTAATGGGAATTTTATTGAAACTACTCTGCTAAGTAAGAGCAGTAGGATTTGGCCCAAGACGTTTAAGGACTGATTTCTCTCACTATTTTATGAGAAATAGAATTTACCAGGATCACTCTTGTTTATGAACAGTCATTGGGTATCTGCCTACTTCTCAGACTTTTTTAAATAGTTGAGAATTTTTATTGTGATGAGCTAAATTCACCAGCTAGTCCCTTATTACCCTAGGATACCTATTGTCCAAACTTAGGTCCCAATACTGCTCTATTCACAGAAGTCCAGGATTGGAGACTCAGTAATTTTATATATAGATATAATATACACACACACATTTTCAAGTATTCTGCATGTTATGTAGAGTATTAAAATACAATTTTATTATTTTCCTCATAATCATTCATTACTGATGTCACTAGTTAGCAAATATGAGACAATGATATCACTTGGAATTTTGTTTTTCAGACAGTTCAGCATGTCAAAGGAATTGGAGGCAGATTTTTAAAGCATCTCACCAGTATATGATAGCTATGAAGCTAAAACTAATTATCGTCTTTGAACATATCGCACCACATGAAAATTGTCGTCAGTTATAACTAAACACTATATCAGAGAGTTTACACCCAACTTTAGATAACTTGGGGTTAAAAACGTGTACAGAGTTTGGATGAAATTTAGGTTTTTGAAACTTCACATCTATGGTTTATATGTCAAGCGAAACCCCAAATAAAACCATAGGATAAACTGCATGTATATTTGTTCTTTCTTTTAAAAAAATGTATGCTTGTATTATCTGCTTACTTTAAAACCAGCCACTTTGGATATATATTGCAATCCTGTGTGATACAGAGTCTCAGGATTTAGCCTTCAAAAATCCAAACCGGTTATTTCAGCTTCAAACATTCTTTGGGAAAAGCGTGAAAATTCTTTGTTGTAGCTCTCGAAAGCCTTTGTCGAAATGGTGGAGTGTGTCCATCTACTTAAAGCTTATAATGAATTTTCTATAACTTATCACAGATCTCCTTATCCTTTATGAATGCAAACTAGATTGTCACTGACATGAATAGAGGCAGCCAGTGTTCAAAAAGAATAGGCACCTGCTAACAGAATTATGTTTTTAATATACTTACATATCTTTAAATATAGTTATTTATATTTATCTGATATATTTAAATATATTTAACATATTTTTAATTTATGTAATTGCAATGCTTTATTTTGACGAGGAAAAATAATTTCAGATATTTTTAAATAAATTAGTTCAAAAAAATAGGCAGTTATATTTTGTACGAACTGATTATCCACTGGGACCTATTCTGCAGTGTTCTCACGTACTTAACTCTGTTGCTTTAACTCCCAGTGTCCTGCTGTAGGCTTAGGGCTGTGTTTCAGCAGTAGAATCGTCCATTCATCCCTTCCCCCCCCCACCACCACTCATTTTTAATTTCATTTTGAGCTGCAAGTAAAATGTCACTCTATTGAACTCCTGGAGCATAATTGTGTGACTCTCCCAGCATTGGTTATCTCAGTCAGTCCTTATGACTGTGGTTATCTGGATTTCAGTCTCTGGAGATCATTTTTGTTAGGCTTTTTAAAAGTGTTCTGATGAGGGAAGGAGTAGATTCTTCATTCTAAAAATTCTTTGTGGTTGTCCGGGAAACAGTGCCCTTTACCACAGTGCTGGAGATATCTAGTGTTTGCATACAACCATAAGGTTATAATTATTATATTATATAAAAATAATATTATAAAATCTCCCTGGAGGACAGTGCATTCTCAAAAAGACCTACCTGATTTTGAGAGGAGTTGGGGTCTTGGCTTAGGTTTTGGTTAGAGTGATCTTGAACATGCGTGTAATAGATGTGTGTAATAGTACTGATGGCAGCAGAGGAGAAAGCAGTGCTTGTTCCATCTGCAGTGCTTGATAACGAAGGGAAAGAAGTGGAGGAGAATTAGGAAATGACTGAAGTAAGATGATAAAGAGTGACTTAAAACCCATCACATCTTTCAGCAAGCTGGAAAGCAGGAGGGAGTGGGAGAGAACTTCACACTTCGCTGCATCACTTAAATCTTTAGAGGATGATTCAGTAGCTAGAATTAATAATTTAATTAATTTAGATAGCTTTAAACAGTTAGATTGATGGCTCCTGAAGACATTAGTTCAAGTTCTTGAGTAGTTAATGTGTTCTTCTAGTGTTATGTATTTCTTCAGTACTTGGGGGTAGGAGGGGGGATCTTTGGAAGAAATGGGGGATGGTCTCCACCGCCTGCTAGATTTGTTAATAACACATCTGTTCTAAAGTCCTGAACTCATTCAACAAAAACTACTTACGAACCAGGAAACCTTCAACTTTCAACAGATAGGTCTCACTTAAATTGACTGGAGGTTCTACAGTGGTTTTCTTCTGAAGGCAATAAAGATAAGTGGGTCAGCCAGAACATTAAAAAACAACAACGAATCCCAAAGATGATCGTTGTATCTTGGGAAGTATGCCACACATCATAACCCCATTAAAATTGCATCAATTTGGATTTATTGCTATGCTCTGCGGGGGAAGAAATGAAGTAGCAGTCTTCCAAATAGGACAGTATAAGCCAAATACATTAAGGAAATTGAACTAAATATGGCATCACAATTATCAGAAACACTACCAGTTTATTGATAAATTGCAAGAGCCTCAGTGATTTTACTTGCAGAAACAAATAGCTACCTTTCCATTTTGACCTGTTATTTTCTGGCACTTCAATGAAACTTGGAGATGTGTGTCGTTTAGCATCATCGTCTTGTATTTTCGTTTTCACTGATGTCAGATGCAAAAATGCCCCCAAATAAAGTTTTCTTCGTTTCAAGGATCATTAGACAAAAATTTAATTCTGTTCTGTATAGGTTCTTATCACCATAGTATCTGAGCATAATATCACCGCCCTCATCACCATAGCATCTGAGTGCTTTCGTGTGTCAAATGTGGGTTGTTCTTTTTGTCATCCTCTCCCCAGGAGGAGAATTGTTTGTTACACAGCTTTGGGTTAGCCTCCTAGAAAGCGCTGTGGTAGAAAGTACCTTTGTGCTAGAGCAGCAGAGCTCACCTAAACCCAGCTTTTGGGTATCGTATCCAGTATATTGCAGACAAGTTAGAAGGTAATAAAGTGGTGGTGAACTGAGGTCATCCTTTACAGGAGGGACAGAGTATTTTAATCAACTGAAGATGGTAGAAAGCATTATTTGCAGATGCTGCTATTGAGAGCTTAGTGTCAGTGAGGAATCCAGGAGTATTCTCAAACTGTGGACTGAATTGACGAATTGTGGATGTGTTCCTCATAATCAAAGGAGACTGCAGCATGTCTGCAAATTCTTCAGAGTGCTTTTCTCTGCCCACCATCTTGCTCCAATTAAATACAAGGAACATGAAGGATGTGGGACTTATCAAGTATGGTGTTGAATCCCCTCAGCAACCACTAAAGTCAGTTGATACCCTATTTCCTTTTAGGATCAGCCCCAGGGCCAAAATTTTGAAATTGGTTAACTCACTGACCTCCATGATCCCTGTGGATGTACTTTAATTCTCTTCTTTAATTGCCTAAGACACTGCTTCAGAGAAGCACTTTAAAATGCACTTAGGTCCATCCCTTTTCAGGATGGTGCTTAAGCACATGCTTCACGCTAAGCGTGTGCTTAATTTCTTCCCTGAAAAGGGTTGTTCCCCTGAATCAGGACCTGACGTTAGGCGCCCATTTGAAAATTAGGGACTGTATGCTTGCTTACCCAGCTTTATTTTAAAAACTATTACATTGTACTTCTGTTCGTTTGTGGTCACATTGGTATTGTGATCTTTGCTAGCCAGAGGAGAAGGAAAGGATTCTGCTTTAAGCTCTCTGGATATGTTATGTGGACACAGATACATCCATACACAATTGTTTGTTTTCCTTTGGTTTGTGCTGTATGAGAGCCAAACCTTACTTGCTTCTTAAAGTCAGCAGAAGATAAACTGGAGGTGGCGTGCACGTTGTGTTTATGTTCTCTGCAAGAGCAGAGGGCATATGGAATAAATCAAAATGTGAAGCATAATAATAGGGTCCCATGGGAAAGAGAGCCTTGTGATTGTGTGATGACTCTCCTTAGAGACAGCAATAGGGGGGCTAGTTTCGTAGCTGAGTCATGCGACAGGAGGGGGCTTCTTTCATTCTCACATGCATCCCCACTTCTGATGTCACAAATCCATTCTTTGCTGAGAGAATTGATTAACATTCATTGGGAGCCTCTGGAGAAAGAGAGGGAAGGGGAAAGAGAGAGCACGCAAGGAGAAAGGGTGGTTAGCCGATTCTTCCAACCCCAGCTACATAGAAGTTGGGACACAATCGGACACAGAATGGCTATTTGTAACTGGGGTCCTTGGTGACGTATGGCTGAGCGTTTCCTGGCACAAATCTTTATGGACCAGTAAGCAGAGCGAAATTGAAGCTGACAAGACTTTTTGCATTTTGGAAAGGACTGTAATCTACTGTAGTGAAGAACAGAGCCACTCAATCACTGCTGCTGTAAATAAGAGACAGAAGGGAGTAAGAAAGAAAGAAGAGAAAAAGATTTTGCTGGGAGGAGGGGGGAGAAAGCATTTTTGGTGGATGGTATGAAGCCAGCCATGGAAACTGCAGCGGAGGAAAATACAGAACAAAGCCAAGAGAAAAAAGGTACCCAGAGGTCTAACAATAGCCTGTTTAAATCTTTTCATTGAGGGTACTTAAAGAGGGTTAGACCGTTTTTGTCACTCTTTTTAGAACAGCTCTTAAACAATCATTATTGCATCTTTCTAGCTTTCAGGGTTTTTTTTTTCCTGTAAGGCTTGACAGCAAATTAATAGAGCAGGAATCTTTCCCTCTGAATATGTTCTCGCTGTGAACCTTCTCCAATCCCATCAAAAATGGTGCGTTTCTGCAAAAGAAGCCTTGTTATTGCTCCTTCTTTGATCAGTTTTGGTAAATTAGAGAGAAAATGTGTGTAGGGTCCTCAGAGCCATAATCAGAAAATTTCACTGAGACTAGCCATGTAGCAGTGCTTTAGTGTTGTGCAATGCAGTGTGGGAGATCTAGGTTACAGGAACATGTAGCTTTCTGCCCGTTTAGAATGACATCCCTAGCTGCCTTGATGCAATAGATTGGTGCCAGATAGCAGACTGATTTTAATTCCTTTTCATCGTCTACATTTTACTCCATAGAGTTTTGTTTCTACAGAGGTTTCTCTATGGTAGGAAAAAGGAGAATAGTGCAATGAGTTAAGCAACGTTGAGGTCCCAGTGTGTGTGTGTGTGTGTGTGTAATCCAGAATTGCTCCTTGATGGGGAGAAGAGTTCCAAATTTATTATTCTGAGATAAGAAAATGGCAGTGTGGTAGGAGAGAGACTTAATTTAATCTGAGTGCTCCAGGTGATTTATTGATCTAAAGTTCAGCACTTCACAGGATAAATACCACCACTGAAGGACTGTTACATTTTGGACTCAGACTGCCGTATAATTCATGCCGTTCAGGATAGCAGGCTATCGTGCAAAGAGGCACAATAAATTCTGCTGAGTGATACAGCTCTAACAAAAATTATCTTATTAAAGTTGTTTGTTATGAACTCTTGACAGTACCTAGATAATGAGATCTCCTCAGGAACCTGTTGCATGTATTATTTCTTAGCTATTATAATATCACAACTGCTTCAACTGCTAATTTATATCCCTAGATTTTAGTGGGTTTTAATACAAACAAGCATTTAATTATATACATATATACATTGAAAAATCATTTGTTTCCTTGGTTTGAAGTTTTGTTTTTCTTTTCTAGTCCGTCTAATTCGAAACCAGCCTCCGTTTCAACAAAATGAAATTTGGCAAGTGATTAGACCATAGAAAACATAATCCCCTAGGGATTTTCCAAAAAAGAGTTACAATGCCGAGAGATTAAACTTTGAAAGCCATTAACATGCATGGGCAGCAATCAACATCGCTGGGGATTTTGAATGCATATTAATGTACAAAGTATATATCCTAAATACTTTGATAAAAATAGCCATCTCATTCACTTAGATTATTTTTAAAAGGTCTAAAGTTTTCCTTTCCACCAGGTAAATAATATATATATTTTAAATAGTCTCGGTGTATATATAACATTTACCAACTCTAAAAATGTTATTTCCATATATTGTGCATCACAAATAACGTACCTTGCAGACCCAGTAATGATTAGATAGTATTTTTCATCCTTGCCTAAATCCCCAAAGCACAGCATGTAGGGAATGTTCATTCTTTTAAACAAATTATCAGTTAAGGCTGATATGACGAATGACAGACTGTCTTGCACGACAAATGACCGATTGTCTTGTTTTCATAAAGGGGCAAGCAGAAGGGACTTGGAGCCTTAATTTTTCCACTGTTTCCTAGCTTTCCTGTAGCTAGTTTGACACATTGAACATATTTAAATGCATTTAGTATTTTTATGCCTTTGTTGTTCTTGCCTACTTCATCATTTATGAAAGTAACATACAGCCTTGCAGACACTGTGAAGTTGTATCTTCATTCAGTCCAACATTGCCTTTCATAAATGTAAACCGTATACTATGCATGGCAATAAAATATGAAGAGTAGAACTGGTTGCCTTGTCTCAATTTAAACAATGAAATAAAATAATCATCCAGATCAACTTGCCTATTCCTTTCAACAAGTACTCAGTGAGGAAGGGCATTAAGTTTTGTTTTGAGATTTTGGGGCCAGATTGTCAGAAGGGCTCAGCTGTTATTTAGGCACCTAAATGAAGAGGCAGGATTTTCATAAGAGCCCAGCACCCGGTAGCTCACACTGAGAACCAGACATACCAACCCGTGGGGAAAAAAATGCAGAAATTGAGCTCGTTGCAAGCTTAAATAGCTTGAGAGTTGCTTGATTGGCTTGTAGCTTGTTGCTTGTTGTAGCTTGTTGCTTCTTTTTTTTTTTTTTTTTGTTCGGCTCCCGGCAAGCAGGGGCAGGTGTGTGGGTTTTTTTGGGTCGGGGGGGGGGAACAAGCAGGGGCAAGGGGGGAGAGAGTCAGGGGTGCACAGCGGACCCACCACAGTCCCAGACTGCACGCCGGGGGGATCTAGTCACATAGAGTGTTGGGGTTCTTAGGGATTGGCTTGTTTTGGCCTCATTTTGAAATGAGATTAGCTTGATTTTTGGTTTATGGTGAAAGTCGGGGTGCTTATTTACTATGTGAAAGTTGGCAACTGTGCTGAGAACATGCTGGGTACTCTTGAAAATCCTGCAATTTCATTTAGGTGCCTAAATAGGAACTGAGCCTTTTGGAATATCTGACCATTTACTCCAGTGCCGAAAACTGGAGGTCTTAGATTCTGAGATCTCGAGCATGTGAATACCCTTCAATATTTTCTTTTCAAATATCACAATTTTTTTTTTACAAAACCTTACTTTCAGAAATAAATTGCCAACTTAAATGAAATAAAATAAGCCAGAGGTCATGGGGTTTGTTTTTATTCCTTATTGCTCTTTAACAATAGGAACTGTGATTGTGTTAACACACCATAAATATTGAACAAGAAAAGATCCTAGCCATTCATCTCCATTTAGATATCCAAGTTCATGTACAGTATCATGTGCGTACACACAAACTGTGGAGAAAACAAACATGTTTAATTTGAAGTGTATATATAACACAATAGGAAAAATGTCCATTTTCACTATTAATGGTCTAAATTTCTATGGATTTTTAAATCAAAGGATCTCAAAGTGCATTTACAAAAACAATAGCAATACAAACATTTATTAACTTTAACTTATGTAGAATCAGCACCTCAGTGAGGTGAGAGAGGACGGTATACATATAGTATACTTCAGCCACCCCGCCTCTGTAGAAAACGTTGCACAATAACATTGTATAACAGTGTAGGACAACAAGTGAAGGTGTAGTTTACTTACAGTATCTACACATGTATGCAACTGAATAGTGATACAGCCTACGTGCAGTTCAAACTATGGCAGATACAAAGGGGCAGATGCTTAGCTGGTGTAAACAGCAATAGTTCCATTGACTTTAGTGCAGCTACAACAATTTACACCAGCTGAGGATCTGCCCCAAAGTGTTGAAAAATATTTAGTTATTTGGGAACGACTGTGCAAATTACATCTTTCTTACGTTACAAACATTCTAAAATTGCAAGTAAAATAATTCAGGGTTCATATTAAATCATAAAAGTATTCCCCCTTCAGGCAATGATGCATAGTCCAACTGTTGGATTTGCAACATCCTTCACACAGCTGTTTCTCTCAAGCTAGACAAGAAATACTGCTGCCCTGATTTTTTAATTGGAAGCTGAACAACGCCCTTGTTCACAGAGATAGGAAATAAGTATTGCTTAGTCTGCATATCAGCAGCTCTTATCAGAGAGAAACACCATGAGCAGAGCTCATGTAAACGTTGAGTAGATCTTTTACAGAGCTACAGAACAGACTGAATGAACTTAAAGATGAGGGTTTACAAATTATTACAAATGACAGAGTTTATCTTGTAGGCATTAAATTAAATCAAAATGTGAGGACTGGGTAGGCAGATTCACTGAGCTGGAATAAACGGGCAAAATGAAATGCCGTTTTGCATCAGCAGTGGAGGAAATACATCCAGATACATATTGAGAGAGACAAGAAGTTTGCTTTTTTCATGCAACAAAGAAAAATATTACTCTTAAGTTGTAAAAGTGCCAAAAAATTGCTGTGACTGACCATAATAAATTAGGCATGAAGGTCTGGTAGAAAAGCAACTACTGAGAAATAGTTTTATTGTATTAGACTAATGCATAAAAAGCTCCAATTTTATATGCTGTATTATAAAAGTAGATGGAAAAATCTGAGCCGTTGTGCTGGAAATTCATTTTGATTGTAGGTTAGAAGGGAGCACTTAATCAGTGAAAATGAAGTTCATAATTAGGAATTGCTGTGAGAGATTTCAAACAAAGAGTTTCGTTATGCATGATTATGTATTAGCCTAAAACAATACAATTACATGTCAATTTTTATAACATTTTTATACCAATTTTTTAAAAAGTGTGAATTTGCAAAATGTGTGTAGTTTAAAACCAAAATAAATAAGTATAATTAGAGAGAGAAGGTGGGAGAGGTAGTATATTTTATTCTACCAACTTCTGTTTATCCAATAAATGGAGATGAATGGTTAGGATCTTTTCTTGTTCAATATTTATGGTGTGTTAACACAAAGCAAGTCCCTATTGTTACAGAGCTGTGTAAGCTTGAAATCTTGTGCCTCTCACCAACAAAAGTTGGTTCAATAATAGATATCACCTCACCCACCCTTGTCTTCTAATATCCTGGGACTGACACGGCTATATTACTGCATACAATAAGTATAATTGACTTATTAATGTTAGAGGTTAATTTCATTTTGAGGGAAGCCCTTGATTGTATAAACATTAGGCATTTGATGGATATGAAGATTGTGGCTCAGGTACCTTGATCCCACAAATGGGAATATGCTGAGGCCACTCGAAGAAGTGGTTACTTACCTGTAATTTAAATTCTTCAAGATGAGCCTCTGCATATACCCGCATGTGGAATCAAGGCACCACAAGTGGGAATGTGCAGAGGCCCATCAAAGAAGAGATGCTCTTTCTTTTTAGATTGTTTGAATAACACAATAACCCATCTTCTTATACAAATTATACTTATTAGCCAAAGTTTTCAAAGCTAGGCCTCAATTGTTAGGCTCCTAAATCCATATTTCAAAGGTGCCCAAGTTCCCTTTTGACTTCAGTGGGATTTGTTGGTGCTCATCCCTCCTGAATACAATGCCAGTTAAATAGAAGTGCCTGACTATAAATCTAGAAGTAAAACATTTTGGAGTCTAGCCTAGAAAATCTTGGCCGTTACGTATGATAGGGATAACAATGTGTCAAACCTAGTGATTTAGGTTTTAATTAATAGGATTTGGTTTCTAACTAAAAAGTGAATATCTTAAAAAGAGTGTATCCCCAGTAGTTTGCCCAAATGATCATGTGAAGGAAGACTTAAACATATGTGGCACAGAATATGGTAAAACCAGAAAGATTTCCAGATTGCACTGTACATGCACAATAGGCACGATATGACACCATATAGAGCATTGACGTGGAATCAAAGTAAAGGTGGAAAAGGACCAACTATGTCATCTACAGTAAGCCTTAATTCTTCCTGTTACCTGGCTAGTCTTGCTCCCAATGTTATAGTCACCGGCTAATTGTTGGGTGGAGTTTTCACCACTTCCCTTGAGGAGACTCTTCATAATCTCCTTTAGGAAATAACAATCAGATTACATTTTCTGTGATTAATTACTCCATATCAAGACTACTTGGCCCATTTTAACCCTCCCCCCCACATCCACCCCATCTCCCACACACATTTTTATTAGAAGACCACAGATGGTTCTTTCATTGATGTATAAACAACAAAGAAATGTAGATTTTTGACCCAGTAACTACCATAGATGTATATAGTTGTGTGAATTGTAAATTAGAGCACCTGTAGCTATTATTTGTGCGACGACATACATAAACTATGTAAATAAATGTTCAGAATGACATACAAATTCTAAAAAGGATATCCAGCTATAGCTGATCATTGTACCTAAACAGTAACCTAAAGTAATCCTAAAAGTGCAACTTCCACTGAATTATAATTTTCTCCCTTAAAAGTGAACTGAAATACTTTTGAAATAAATATTCAGTGCTATTTAATATACTAAATCATGACCAAAACACGGAGAGTTAAGGCCTAGTTCTGCCATACTTTATGGAGGCCGTTATTGCTCAGACTAAAGTCTGTGAGATTTCTTATGAAAATACTTTCGATGAAAAGAAATAACAAATTTTGGAATTTCTCCTAGAAATTTAGAAATATTTTAGTTACAAATTCTTAGGCTTTGTCATAAAACCAGAAAGTTTCAAAATTTCCATGAAAATTTTAGTTTCCAAAATGCCTTTTCATTAAAAAATAAAATAAAGGCAAAGTTTTGACCATTGCTATTAAAAATAAATAAGAGGATGTTTAAAAGTCAGTCCTTATACTTACCTGCCAGCTCATGATTTTAGGATTCAGTGTTTCTCCAGCAAGAACTAGTGATCCAACTGGCATCTGTGGTAGAGTAAGAGGACTCCAGAACTCTGACCTCACGTTTGACAAGATAAAAGCCTTTCCATTTATTTTTATTTATATTAGTTTATATTAAAATTATATTAGTATTTTGGCATCTTAAATGTCTTTGAGTAAGTATTTGAATTTAAGTTCTCCTTTGTGATGAAAAATGCTTCCTCTTAAAGCACATTCTAATTTAATATCATTTTCTTCTCCAAAAAGTAATTAGTAATCTTTTATTTAAAAAAAAGTGGTTTTATGTACATTAGAGAAATGGAAAACAATAATAACTGAACATTGCATGTTTGAGGAAGGCAAGTATATGAGAAACAATGAATAGTACTATACAGTATCAGCAAGTGCATTCTGCCATCATTTTCTATTTTTGATATTGCATTCAATTCCTATGGCATCTATCCTGATCTCATAAACAGGATTGCTATTGAATGAGCAACAGGAGAAGAGGAAGTCATTGCAGGAGACATTGTCTTTGGATACGTAATCATTTTAGGAAGATGCACTAGAAAACATTTGAAAAGTAGTTGAATATGTAGGCTGTCGAACTTCTGTTGGTTTTTTTTTTTTTTTTTAGGATGGGGAATGGGGAAGGTTTCCCCAAGTAGAAGAATAAAATATGTGAAGCAGAATAACTTCTTTCATGAAAAATATGGGCTATATATAAAGCTGTTGGCACAAATTACAAAGAGAAGGAAATGATCAAGAGGAAATAAACTACTAAGCATTCATTAAAGAATTAACTTGGTATTGCTCCCAAGGACACTCTTTTTCTTTTGCAGCAGGTAGTAATACTACCAACAGATTATTCATTAATACAATATGTATATAATTTCTTGTTTCCATCCTCCTAGATACAGATCACTGGACTCCTAGGAACAGATTCTCCTCTCACTCCTGATTTACACTCGTGTAACCGTACTGAAGTTAGTGGAGTTACACCTGTATAAAAACAGTGTGAGAGGAGAATCACACCATATACTTCTGTTTTTAGACTAGAAATTTGTGGTACCTTATCTTTCTAGTAACCTGCTTCTCTGACCTACTTGGAAAGTAATTGTTTGTAATGTCCTAAACTATATCTCATCTACCTGCTGAAATGCTGCTAAATAAGATTTATTTTGGACAAAGATGACAGTTACTTGTTCATGTAGCTACTACAGAGTGGAACTTCCAGTGTATTTTAAGAAATGATCCATCTTGCATTGACAGCCTGGCAATTCATAACCAAGGCAAGGTGAAAAAATGTCGATCCAAAAGAAGTTTGATGCTGTTTTGCCAATAGCCTCTTTCTGGAATGCTCAGGAGCAGTAAAGCTTTGAAGTACTCTCCCAACGAATTACAGACCATTACATATGACTGGAAATGACATAACACTACTGAAATTTATCAACAATTGAGAGAGGTCTGGGGGGAGAGAACAATAATGAGTCGAATTCTCCTTGCATGTACATTGTAAAACTGGAGTAACTCTGCTGAAATCAATAGAGCTGGTCGAAATTTGCACCAGTGTGAGAGCAGCTTTTCTCATCTATTTGTTTTAAGAAGTTAACTTTGCGCCACTGGACAAATTTGTGTTTGAGTCTCTCTCTCTCTACATCTGGTGGTAATTATCTAACTCTGCTGGGTTTAGGATACTCTAAAAATAGATATTTGGTTTCCCACAATTCTGTTTCCCTTTCCGCCCTATCTCTTAGAGAAGGGACTGTTTTCCAGAAAAGAGAAGGGGGTTGGTGTGAGGTAAGTGAGTTTTGATGATCAGAGACCACAACAGACTAGAACGTTTTAATATGTATTTATGTTCATTCAAGAACCGAGAGGAGTTTTAAACATTCTTGTGTCAGTAATGGTCTTTAGCTCATAACTTTAACAGCATATCCTGTTGATTTTCCTCCTGTTGGTTGGTACAAATTGGTTATATTTCAGTTATTAAACCTCAGCATATTTTTCTGGACTCTCCACTTAATTTTAAAATTAAATGAATAAAAGTATTGAACAAATTTTTGTTTGCTGGAGACACTGACATTTTACCACCTAAAATTGGCAGTGATCACCAGACCAGAAATGGAAATTGGCAGGTACCACTGGATGTACAGGAGTTCAAGGCCACACCAGTACCATCATGTGCCAGCATTGAGAGGCAATATTAGTCCTTTGGGGATTCAAGGTAAATAAAGGGTTGGGGTGAAATCTAAATGGAGAGTTCAAATACAGTAGCACAAACATGATTTGCAGTAGCTGTAATCTTTTTAAAAATGTTTTTCTATGTTTCTTAGTCAGTTAGGAGTCTGATTTTCTCGTGATTGCTTGAAATAAACTTTAATTTTAATCTGTTAGTGTTGGAAAGGCAGTAGCTTTCTGTTAACTGTATTGCCAGCAATCATTTCAAAACTGTCCACTGCCAAGGCAGAATAGTATTGCTGTGTATGCAAACCCAGTCAGAAACTGATGATGATGATATAATTTATAATCCATCAGTTGGCTTCCATGTCCAAAGACAGCAATACACAGTGCAGTGGGTCTCCTATCAAGTGCTTCTTTGAACACTATTTCACCTAATAGCTCATTTTCTAGCAGCAATTCTGTGTGTGTGTGTGTGTGATGTTTTAAAGAAAGACTAAGGCCAAGATTTTCCAAAGTGATTAGTGATTCTGCATGTGTCAGATTTTGGGTGCCCAATTTAAGTCACTAAAATGGAGGCCCGATTTTCAGAGGGTGAGCACTCAGCACTTTTTGAAAATTCCCTTTGAAGTGTCTCAGGTCAAGCAACATGCAATGTTATTTTGCCCAACCAGCCTCTTCCCTGGATGAAGCTGATCTATTTAATTCAGTTCAGAGATTTGAGCGCTACATTTGGAGAACATTCACCAAGTTCTCCACTTAGCCCCTTCCCTTATATAACCTGATGAACTGGTTCTTTGGACCTTAAAATGCTCTTTCCATGGTAGGCTTAGTCTGTATGCTAGAAATGGATGAATATTTTTATTGTCAAATTGTATATTCAAAAATATTGCTAAATTAGTCAGATGTATTATTTGGTTGATCAGGTCTATTCTGCTCAGCTATGGAGGGTAGAGGGAGAACTTGGTACTGGTAATACTACTTTGCATTGTTAATGGCTCTTCATTATATTTCCTACAAGTAGAAACAGTACTGTTGCATAACCTCCCAAAGAGAATTTAAAATGCAATGGGTTGGCAATATTCTGAGGTACCTTTTCAGATCTCCACTTCAGCTAATGCCTGAGTCTTAGAGTCATCAGACTGACCTTTTTCTTGCTGGAGTCTTAGTTGTGAGCCTGCTACCCAGATTCGGAGAGAACGGATTCAGAATGGCCAGGTATATATAAGAATATCTGATGTGGACTATTGTCCAAAGTCCCAAAGGGGAGCCAATGGCTAAATACATACAGAAATCTTCTAGCTATGCTCAAGGTGATAATACTATGTATGGAATAATTTTAAAACCATTTTGGACCATTAATGGTTTAGCCAGACTTCAACAGATTTATCCGTAGTGCTTTGTAGCACCAGAAAGTGGGCAAGTTCTGTCTACTGCTAGATCTGAAGTGGCTCAAGACATTTGTTTGTGATTGCAAAGTCTCTGAGATGTGGTGATCTCTGATGTGTTCTACAGATGATGTGGCTACTAAAAGCTCCTTTTCTTTGTCACAAGCCCAGCATTCAGTACAAATGTGATCAATCTGTTTTATATACTGGTGCTAAATTTCAAGAAGGCCTTGTTTCCATCAGAGAGATTTTTTCAGATCAAATGTTGAAGAATATCAGAGGCAAAGATCATGATTCACAAGTTCAATGCTTATCTTAGCCATCTTTTACAAGCTTATGCACCACCTGGTCATTTGTCTCTATTCTTTAGAAGAAATAGCCAAAAGATTCTGTATATCTTTACTCAACTACCTGAGAGCAAAATCCTTATTACACTGGTAGCTGTCAGTCTATATCATTAAAGGAAATCCACTTCAAGAACCAATGATCAATGCCATCCAGAAGCTGAGGTCTGTCCACGGACGCTGGTTGAATTAGGAGGCTTGCTAAAATACAGACATAAGCTTTTAGCTTGGGAGTGCTAGGACATTTCTGAGACTTTTCAACAAAGATTTGAAGTTACAAGAGGTCCTGGGCGTAACCTGAACACACAAGAGGCTGAAAATGACATTTTAATGTGGGAAACTCAGTTTCTGATTACTCTGATGTAAAGAAACCTGAATCTCTCCAGCTGTGCTATGCAGTAGAAAACTGAGAATAGTAACAGAACAACTCGCTGAACAAGGCTGGAACAAGGATACCAATCTCTGTGCCAATGATTATTTAGTCACAATGAAATGCTACTTCTTCCCTTGAAAGAGGAACATAATCAGAACAATGGATGTTTTTCATTTCAGAGCTGGTACAGGAATCTCTTGTTTTGGATTGCACCGAATAGTACACTGGAAAACACTCCCAACTCTACTAACATGTAAACTTTCTTCCTATAGCAACCTTCCTTATCTCCTCTTTCAGTGTCGGTAATAGGTGGTATTAGGAGAGCAAACTTTGTTTCCCTTTAATATTTTGCTTCTTTCACTAGATCTCTAAATAAGCAACTATCAGCCCCGTTGGATCTTTAATTAATCAATGAAATGCTACTTTATTGTCCGTCTTTCTTTAAAATTCTTTGTTTAAAGATTGGCACCCTTGTTTTAAGATGAACATTCTTGTGGAAATTCTTCCAGATGAATTGGTTTTTTGTTTGTTTTATGGTTTTTCTTTTCCTAGATTTCTTCCTAAAAATTTTAGGTTTTTTGGGGCCTACTTTAGATAGGCATAAAGGCACGAGAAGGTGCACCCTTCCATCAAGATTTAAGATCATTCCATAAGGATGCAGGCTGTCTAGTGAGCAGGGGGAAATTTGCAAAGCATCTACCTAGGCACACACCTTCACCTTGGTTGGTGCTACGATGGGCCAAAGGTCTTTATAGTGGTGGTTCATTTTCCTCTTATTCTGTATTTAGGTAAGCTATTTCTCTAAAGACCCCTTAGTTCCAGATTGGTACCGAAAGGCTGAATTTGGCTTTTGAATCTCAGATCCACTGGTCTGAAAATCTCTCCCCCCTCCCTTTTTTTTTTAAATTTATATTTAAGTAGGAGTCTTACTGGGGGGAGAGATTGTTTTTGTTTACTTCCTTGTAGCTAAGGAAGTGTCAACTGGAGAAGCAGTTGGTAGCTGTGGTTGAGATCCAGTGTGATAAGTCTTATTCTGCTATTGGATACTGCTGGCATTGATGCATTGTGAGGTAAGTTACCACTTCCAGACTGGGGGATCTAAGATTCAAAACTCAAATTTTACAGGTAAGAAACTAATCTTTGATTAAAACACAAACATTGTTAAAAATAGTTGTTCTCTTTTTTTTCACAAGAAAACCCAGGAAACTCTAGTTCATGCAGGGTGAGGTTTACAAAGGCCCCTAAGCAGTCAATGGGAGGTAGGTGCTAGCTCACATGATCACGTTTGTAAATCCCACTGGGCTTCTGTCTACCTCTTTAGATGCCTAAATACCTTTGTAAGTCTGGTCTGGTGTCTAATTTTTTACACCTTTTGGCTCAGAGTTGTCTAGATAAGTCAGCCAAGCCAGCATGTTCTAAAACTGGGAGATGACTAGTGTGCATGACGAGGTGGGCGGAGATCAGGGTGAGAGGAGAGAATAGAAAGAGGGACTGTTTTAATAAAAAATATGAAATGGCAGACTGATTGCAAATCCTGTGTTTTGTGTATGCTGTTCATGTGCGGCCTCGTGTGGAGTTGGACTGAGACTGATAACTTTTGCCAATGGAGTGATTTCAAATTAATGAATTCTGCATATAGATTAACACCTCCACATACAAGAGTCCTTGGAAAAAATGTGTGCTGCAAAGTACTGGAACAAATCTGCAGGAGGAATTACTGCCAAAGTTATATCAACAGAGCTCAGACTACTTTTATCAAGGAAGTTCTTTTAAAATACCGTAGTGATGCAATGATTAATAGGAGGTTGTATTTTTCAGAAATAACTGATAGTGAGAGAAATGAGTGGGAAAATATCCACCATTATGGACCCAGTTAAGACTGTTCAAAGCAAATCCTCTCTTAAAGCACAAGTTGACCAACTTTCTTCTCTTCAGAGGTGGTGCAGAAGTGCCTTGCTTTGAAGTGCATTGTCTCATGGGCTGGAAAGAGTTCCTGTCTCTTCTGTTGACAAGAAATGAAGTTGTTGGACTTTCATCTCAGGCTGACCAAACTGGAACAAGAGAACTGCTCTTGGCCTATTGTCTCATGTGTCACAGTAGTTCACAAGTACTCCTGTTCTTTTTGTGGATACAGACTAACATGGCTGCTACTCTGAAACCAATAGTTGAATGCTTGATATTATGTATCATTAGCAGCCTAGAATTGATGCATGTAACAAACATGGAATCAATGTTTCATATTTTATAGATCATATTGCCTTAAAAGAGGCCATCTTCTGAACACTTATAAACTGAAGGACCATTTCACAGAACTGGAACTGCATCAAACTGATTTAATTTGGAAGAATGTGCATTTCTGTCTTCACTATAGATTCATAGGTTTTCACACACCACCTCTGCCAGGGCAGAATCTTCCCCAAAGTATTGTTGTGACTCCTTGACCACCTTGAAATAATATGTCTGACACTCTGGCTGAGAAGGTTGGACACCATCGAACTAAACCATGTTGGTTCTCCAAAGTAGTTAGTCCTTATTGTGAGTTGGTTCTTTTTAAGCTTGAAAAGTAGCAGTTAGAAAGGCTGCAATAGCAGCTTTTTATAAGCATATGTGTAAAGGAAAATATTGATATGAAATACATAGTACCTGCAGCAGAAGCTTAATCCTTAGTGCACCAGGACCCTTAGATAGTTTATAATGGTATGCACAGGCAGTGCTCTTTCAAAATACAAAGGGGCCTAAGCTCCTCTTATTATAACATGCAGTATTATAGGTCCAAGTCCTGCAAAGATTTATGCACATGCTAAGTATTAATCATATGAATAGCAATATTTGAGTTCACCCTTAGCTCAGCCTATTTTTCTGCGGTTCAGTCGCACTCCTTGCTCTAGTACCTAAGCAAGGATTTTGGCTTAGTGTATTGAGTTACGTTTTTTATAATTTG